TTAACCCTATCCCAGCCGAAACTAGGACAATGACCTATACCTAATAAGGCAAGTATTAAAACATTCAAACTGACATCAATGCTTATCAATATAATGGAAAAGTGATGTGAACCCAACCTGTAACTTGTAACAGAAAAATACTGTTGGACACCACTGTAGATGTACTACAGAAAACCTGATTTAACTCCTTGATAAAAATTAGAAGTTTTACCTGCATATACTGCATGGGTGATACAGACTGTGAAATGCTACGTATGCTCCTCATACTGGCATTTTAAATGGAATTTTAAAATAATTGGAAAGGCTGCAGAGAACTGTGGAAGTGATCTGACAGTTCAAAATGCATTTTAGGGATAGATTTAGGGAGTATCAAGTTTCCTGTCAGAGATTGAAATAACAGTATTTTTAGCTTGTTAGTATCCCTCCCCCACTCTTTTTTAAAAATTTCTTATTCTTGTGGGTCTTTTTGGTGCAACACACCAAACTTAGTAGGAACCACTGGCTCAAGTCTGAAACCAAGCAAACTCAAAGTCTAAATTAAGCACATATTGTTAAGATTGCAACAAGTTACAAAGAATATTCACTCCTGCTTCTATCTCCTGATTTCGTTAAATCAAGGTCAGATGTGTTTCTAGAGCGCTTTATAAGCAAATCTGAGTTCTCAGGCTTGTTCTAGTGTAACAGAAAGCAAGGGAACATCAGTGAGATACAGGTAAGACTACACCTATTGGTCCCCTCAGTGAACTAAATATATGCTCTCCTTTTTGTCAGTCTTCGTAATACCTTGCTTTTGTATGCACTCAGTCCCAAGTAGGGTTGACTATTTCTGTTTGCTTATGAAGGTTTTACAATTTTATGGCTGACCTCTCCATAAGATCAGTAATATTACTGCTGAAGTTTTTAAAAGGACATTCACAACAATTAACGGTTTTTGCTGTGTCCCCCACCTTCCCCAGCTGCATTTCAAGGTGCTTTGCTAATACACACAGTTTCCACAACGTCAATATGGGAAATAAAGAACTTGAAGTACAAGGATAAAAGTTATGTTCTTAAAATTATTGGAATATAATATTATTTGAAGCATATAGTTTTCTTTCAAATATTGCAAAAAACCTGAAATTAAACACAAGCATGCTCCAGTCTTCTGAAATAATGTTAAGTTTACCTCTTCAACTTGACCATCTTCACCCCCATCTTTTTCTTTGTCTTCCTCTTCATCATCATCATAGTCTTCTTCCTCATCTTCTTCTTCTTCCGATGATGTGTCCCCTGCTCCATCAACTTGGAGAACAAGTGGTGCTTGTGGTTGTGCCTGTTGTTGTTGTGGTTGCTGCTGACCAGCTGCAGGAATCTGTGCTTGAGCTGGTGTAGGGGCAGCCACTGTTGTAGGTATGACTTGTGTTTTATTTCCTGTAAACAGGATCTGCTGAGGCTGAATAATCACTCCCGTCTGCTGGGAAATCCCTCCAGGGATAGGAGCCAAAACCTGATGGAATATCATTGCAAGTACTATGACTGCTAGCATAACAGACTATCACATCACTTACTCACAGAAAACAACTAAAGCGTATCAATCTTACTTGCACTAATTAGAGAAACAAGAGTTACAAATATTCTACCTATATCAGATACATAAGTTAATTTTCAGTAACATACCTTCTTTCACTACTCGCTGTTTATTTTCTGCATTTTGCATTGCTAAATCTAAGAAAACCTCCTGTCTTTCCATTCTAAAATGCTAGCACTACTGCCACACCTGAGTTCCAAGCACAGGAGAGGAATGTTTAAATTGAAGTAAAAGATTATTTTTAAGCCTTCTCTATAAAACATTTAAACTCTCTACAAATTGTTATTCATGCTTAAACTGGAAAACTGTGACGCAATGCTAAAGTCAAGGCTTACACAGTCTGGACACACAGTTGACCTTGTAGCTGAAAAAGAATCCTCGTAAAACATACTGTATTCACTACTAAAATAACCAAGGAGGATGTGTGTGTGTTTTAAGTATTTTCTTCTATATGTTATGTGACACAGAATCATTTTAACCAATAGACACATTTTTAAAAGGATGTAGACTAGGATTATGCACATAGCGTTAACTGTCATCAGGGGACGCACAAAAGAGATTTTAAACTGCAGCCAGTCAGACTTTGGCAAGAATGGAAGTGACATTGAAAACGACATTTCAAAATTGTTCATTTTTAAAAAACACACTTCTTAACACAATTCTCTCTTTTTTTTTTTTTTAAATATACCATTTCTGACTTTGTGTTCTATTTCAATTTGCTCACAAAAGTGCAAGCCTCTTTAGTAATTACTGTAATTTTTTTTTCTTTCAAGTGTACCTATTCAAAAATTTTTCTTTACCTGCTGTATAACAGGTGCTTGTACTCCACCAGGCTGCATTTGTGGTATGACCTGCTGCTGTAGAACAACTGGCTGCTGTGGTTGAATGATATACTGAGCTCCGTTTGCAGTTCTAACTACTTGGAGGATCTGGCCTGTAATAAAATAAATATCAAATTGATCACATGTAGAAATTCACTTTTAAAATTATCTTAGTTTAGAAGCTTGTCTCCTGGAAAAACACCAATGACAATTAAAGGAGAGCATTTATGTTTCACTTTCACCAGTGAAAAGATACTATGCTATAGTAGCTGTGTCAGAAACAAAGAACTAATAGGGTTGTTTACCATCTATATATGATCGTGAGGTATGCGATCCAAAACTAAATTTACGTGTGCAAACCAAAGTCTAATCCTTTAACACAGCATAGTATTTTAAACATTAGCTCCCACTTATGAACATACCTCAGGCTTCGAAAGATAGATTTTACAGATAGAAAGATATATGAACATATACCAAAATAGGAATACAGGTATTCACACCACAAAAATTCTATCCACTGCTAATAATGTGGTATTTCTAGGGTCCTGTCAGACGATGTCCCTTCCTCAGATTCTTTTCCCTCCACATTACAAAAAATTCCTGTATGCGTTAACTTTTTTTGCAGTATTATCATCCAGTTGCCTTTTTCAAAAGAAGGGAAGAAAAAAAAAAAAAAAAAAAAAAATCTATCTTTACACTTACTATCCACCTCTCCTTTCTGCCTTTCTGTTCCTGTAATGCCTGTACTCGATTTTCTTTTATTGTCCTATACCTTTACCATTTTATACCTTTCCTCACTTCACAAAATACGTCTAAGACACACACACCTTTGGAGTTGGCCTCCAACTCTGAAAAGCAAGAGCTAATACATATTCCAACATTAGTTTTTCACATTTCTAATCATAAAGATGGAGAAGAAATTAAATTAGATAATCCTGAACTTCATACATTTCCCTCAAAGACTGATTTCCTGTTCTCCCTCCACAGCAAAACGCAAAGCCCTGTTTACTGAAATAACTAAGTATATCTGAAAGAAGGGACTACCCTAGCCCCTTGTTTAAGAAAACATACTATAAATATTTATAACTGAAGAAAAGTAAATATGACTATAAGAAAAGTAACAAATGTGAGCTGCAGCTTATTCTATGCTATGACAAACATAGATGTGCTTCCTTAAAAATTGGAAAGATTTGAATTTCTAGAACAGCTACACATTTATTTCTACTACATATCCATTAAACATTCAAATGTTTAAAGTGGGGAGGTTAAGTCTCAGGTGATTCTGAGCAGACTAGATGAATTACTCTGGCAAAACCAGCAACTGATTCTAGAAAATGAGCTTTCTCAGATCTTCCTTTACTCTCCACATAGAACAGATCTAGAATCAAGCTTATAAAATCAGCATAATACAAAAGCGCATGAGGCACCAGACATGCTGTTCATAAAAGTAACATTTAATTATATTCTAAACGTTCAGCATGACAGTATTTAAAAATGATAAATCTAAAATAAAATTAGCATTGCCGGCAAAATCAGAAATTCCACTGTGTGTGCTTAGCAGGTACGAGAAACCTTAAGACATTCCTCATCTGAACTCACAGATGAAGCGATCCTGCTTTTTTATAACCAGTCTAGTACCTGTGCTCAGATCATGCATCACAAAGCTCACAAATATGTGAAGGGGAGAGACAGCAACGCCCGTCTTCGTGCTTCATGCGCTTCCCTAGAAAGTGGGGAAAACTTGCACAGAACCTAACCCACACCACTGTTAGGTCAGAACCACAAGGTTCGCAAGAGTAGCAAGTCAGCGAGCAAAAGAGTCCAGGAGTCTAGTGAAGAGATTGCACAACCTTGTAAGGATGGATTCCCAGGTTCTGCTTTTTAACAATATATAGCAGGGAGTAAAACCCAGAATTTCTCCCTCCCAAGCACCCTCAAAACTATTGTTTGATTTCAATGTTAAGACAGTTACCTGAATTTGTAAGTATCTGCTGAACAGGAGTAACGCCAGCAGGGAGAGCCAACGTAGCTGCAGTGGCTGCAGCACTCTGAAATACAAGAAAAGCTTTTTGACCACAGATGTCATTGCCAGTGTTTCATCTCACAACATGCTGCCTGAAAACATGTACCTTTTTATTGCTGTTTACAATGTTTGCACACAGGTTTCTGCAGCTATTGAAATGCAGGCATGAATCAACTGTACATTATACCACATACAAAAATTATTTCCCTTCTTCCTTAATAGGAAGAAGACTGAAGCAACAATCACTAAGCATCACACCTTAACCCAGTTCCACACGGTTTCTTGGTTTATCTGCAAGCTCTGTAGATTTTTTTTCTCCTGTCTTCTCTGCTGATCTACTAATACAGTACAATACTGCATTGCTCATGTGGCACTTTTACTTACACTTTTTCAAAGCAGCTAAAGATATGGGCCTACAAATCTGAAAAAACATAAGGTACTGAAGCAATGATCACATTCGCCTGCCTTGTTTTCGCAAGGAGTAGTAATCAGGTTTGCACTTTTCTTCATTCTGTAAATGATTTGCATTTCAAGTCCCGCATAACACAGCTCTTCTGAGTGAATATACACATACAGTGTACTGACTGTTCACAGAATGACTAATTTTTTCTCTCAAGACAGCTGGTTAAAAGAGAAAGCCAAAGACTCTCAATGGGTAATGATTTGAACTTACAAGTAAACTGAATTCCAACACAATTATGGGAGCTCCAAACACAAAAATCTGCATTAAGTCCTTAACTCACAGAGGCAGATGGACTTCTCCAGAGATGTCTCCATTTCAAGGGTCTAACTTCAGCTGCCTGTGGAAAAGCCTCCCTTTCCCCACTATAAAGGAACCATGGCTGATTACTCTTTGCTACTGAAACGATTTAAACTCTATTACTGGGTAGAGTGCATACTTCCTGTTCATAAGAAATATGATTTCCCCGTATTGGCTGATCAATATAGTAGTTACAACTGCCAAAATTAGAGATCACCAAGCAAAACTGTAAAGTACTTGTCTGCATCCTCACGCCCCAGACAAAGGTAGATGAATAAACTCTCATTACTCTCTGCCTTCCAAGATATTCAAGGTCTGTCAGATCCATTCTTTAATACCAACTTAAATGTTTCTAGTAACACACACAATAACTCCAAATCGATTCTGTAACTATTTACTGCACAGTTGCCTTCTGCAGCATACAATTCATCTACATTTTGACAGCAGCAGAGTTTTAAAAGCATGGCATAGTCATTTTTGCAATACCCATCAACAAGATCTAACTGAATGAGACAGAAAAAAATGTTTAACTGTTGGACTTGGGAACTTACAAATCACATTGAAATGGTTGTAAAACATGTAAGAAAAAGGTAGATGTTAATGTGCTCTGGGCCTCTGGGTAAATCATGCTATTTGAGTATAAAAGTTCAGGTTCTTTTCTATAGTAAGGTCAGCAGGTAATGGAGGAGTGAAGGTTGCTGCAGCAGCTTTGACTAATCATGAAACTTTGTTTCATGTGCTTTTACCATAAAAGTGGTAAGAATGTAACGAATTCTGGTCCTAAGACACATTTAATTTGTATTAGCTGTTGTTTTCATTGCTTTGCAAGGAATTTTTTTGTTTACATTAAGCCAGGGCACTTCAAACAAGATAACCAAAATTAACGTCTAGCGATAAAAACTGCAAGAAAAGGGTAAATGACCAGACTCAGTTTTATATGCTATTACAAAATTAGTGAATCAAATTAACGTGACCAGAAAAGATTGATGTGAATTGCTAAATAATCTCTCATTTGATATAAGCTTAAGTTTCAGAGTAGTTAATGTTTTTTTCCTGCATCTAGCAAATACAGTATGCTTGCATCAGTTAAGAGTGTTGTGTTGGTATATGACGAGCACATCATCATGCAGATTTATACCAACAGTACTCCAATTTCTGATTAAAAAAAAAGTTTCGGTTAAACACATTTAAAGCAGAGGATCAAAGTAAGTCCTACATTTGTTATCAAAACTGAAGTCCTGGATTACTGTTCCTAGATTGTCAGCGCAGCAGAAAACTCAGAAAGATGGCAGACAGCTTTACCAGTGTGTCCTAAATTACTTTTAAGCATCTGATGACTAATACCAGATTTGTGTTTACTATTTAATGAAAACAACTTGCATAATGACAGCGTATGCATGTATAAACTTCTGATTTTCTTACCATGCCTGACGCATTCATGTGTGGTATCAGCTTGGAATCTGGCACGATAACCTGCTGCTGAGGTGCTAGAAACAAAAAAATAGCATTTTATGAAAACTACGCAGTCTGCCCAAAATAACATCCAAGCCAGAATAACTTAGAAGGAACATCATCCAAACATCAGCTGAGCTTCATAACAAAAACAGCTACTGAGCAGTCTCTGATCTTATTAAATTTTACTCTCAAGACAATATACAACAGCAGCTCTGAGAAGCGATATGGCTATTTTGGCTTTACAGATCTTATTTCAAGGGCTTCAGTCACCTACTCTGACTCTAGGTAAAGCAAGATTTAAAATCCATTTCTGAAATTAAAGGTATCAGTGAAACGTTCATAAACTTGCTGATGTCCAGTATCAGAGTTCTCCAAAAACATCAATTGACAGTGGTTAACTCTTAAAACAGACTTAAGCAAGGATTGTTGCAAGATGAAGAGCATGTTAACAGGATGCAGCAGTTAGCTTGAGTTAGGTCTAGTAAGCATATCTGTTAGCATTAGCTCATGATCTTCACTGTCTTTCTAATGTAGCAAAAGCAGATGAAATATGATCAAACCTGTCCCAAACAACAAAATAGTTTTGGTGTGCTAAAGGAAATAGATAGCTAAACTATGCAAACAACCTGTTGATCATCTAGAAGTGCAAAAGTTTCCAAGTCCATGAAACAAGCAGGTTGTCAGTGCTAATATCAGTGGCAGTAAATGGGAAAATGAGAGCACAATTTGAACAAACTAATATCGGCAAGGTATTCTCCACCCAATCCTATAACCAAGGGCACTTAATACTGGGGATAACAGAGTTTCTGGAAAAGATTCTGAGGAGGGAAGCCCCACAACCTTGCACCAAGATCTGAGGCCATCTCTCCAACTTTCAGGGAACCCAGGGAGGGCAAAAGAGCCCAAGGAAATCTTGTGACCCTGTGCCAGGACCACACACAGGACAACAGGAATCACCATGCCGATCGTCATGATCTCTCCCTGGGACTGCACCAGGTTGTGCAAGGAACTACTACATCATCTCTCCCATGGAACAGGGAAGTCAAGTAATTCATAAAACTGCATGTCTGTGATTAAAGTGCTTTGATATCCTAATTTCATTTAGCCTCCACACTGTCATTTGGTCAAAAGCCACAACAATTGGGCAATAATAAATCAGTTTTAAGTGTATTACTATAGGCAGGATCTTATTCTACCCTAAGACACAAATGGGAGGACAGGGACCTCCATATTAATGGAAGGAAACCTGCTGAGGAGAGTCACAGCTATTCAGCTGAGAAGCCACTAGAGGTCTTGGTGAGCAGACTTTCCAGGCTCTGCTGACTGTAACTTAAGCGGAGACACCCAGATCATTTGAAGCCACGTGTATTTATGGGTCTTAATCTCAAAATTAATTTTATCCCAACAGTTGAAATTTATTTATGTCCAGCCAAAATACAAAGTACTATAAGAAGAAAAAAACAAAACAACAAAAAACCCACAACAAAACAAAAAAAAAAACCCACACAAACAAAAAAACCACACAAGGAAAAAAAGCCCTAACAGCAAGTTCTTGTCACACCAGTTCTCTTCTGTTTTGACTGTATGGTGGTTGGGTTTTGGGTTTTTTTTGGGGGGGAGGGTAGGGGGAGGGGATCAACTCATAGCTATCTTTTGTGCCTATGACAACATAGGTTCTGATCCATGAAATCTGATAAAAAGACTAAAGTCTGTGACTGACTACCACAGATAAATATTTTGTGTCACAATTTTAGTAGTACACTGAAAACTCGACTCAAGCATTTCAAAAGTGGCAGATTTGTTTACACAGCATATATGCAGTAAAATCCAGTAGTGTTTATCTTTTCAAATGAAACTGTAATTGGTGAAAATGTTTCCCTTAAATTATTAATGGAGAATACACAAGACAATAATTACAAGAAACAATACTGTTATGGCTAGCTAAAATATACCTTGAACAGCCACACCTACACAGTGTGCAATCTTTTAAGACCACAAAAATACCCAGCCATTATGCTTTTCACTTGAAACTTGTTCTAACATGAAAAAACATCTCCTACATATGCTCAGACTGTTATACAAGTATTTTTCTCGTCCTAGCATCCACTTATGCTAAACAGTAATATATTTTTTAAAATTAATTTGCTCCTAATGACATTACTACCTCATGACTAAATTGCCAACTGCATATGCATATTGGCTTGAAATTACAGAGCTGCTAATGGACTTTTGACCGAATCTGAAAGTCATGTATTCTGAAAACATAAGTTACGTAGCAGAAGCCCAAGAGAAGAACTCAGCTTTTCCAAAATCTTCTGAAGAATATGGCTAACACAAATACCAAGATAACGCTCTTGACCCATTAAATAGAGGCAAGTAGAGACGAAGTTTAACATAAAGACACAAAGTTATCCATCAGATCAACTCCTTATCATATTCTAAATCTAGGGCAGGATGTTTCTCTAACTTGAGAGTCTTTTGCCAGAGAGATTAGAGAGTAAGTCTAACCTTGCTGAGATGCTGGAATAAGGACCTGTTGTGGCTGAGACTGCTGCTGGACAGTCTGCTGTGGCTGAGGTTGTGTGTGATGGTGGTGGTGATGATGCTGCTGTTGCTGCTGCTGCTGTTGCTGCTGTTGCACCTGCAACAAAAGCTGCTGCTCTTCTGAATGGAAGCCATCTACAGCCTTGGACTGCATCAGCTTGTTCTCCCACAGCTAGTTTGGAAAAGGAGAGAGACATCTCAGTGTATGGTTTTTACTCAACAGAATTTGTAACAATATAAAGACAGTACTCCAAAATCAAATTTGTTTTCACTGTTTATCTTGTGCAGTTTACTTAGCCAAAAAGCCCTTAGGCAAATACAGACTGAAGAGAGAACTCCACAGAGGTAATGTTTTAAGAAGAGGAATTAAATATCCCTTATGAATTATCAGTCCAAGCTTAAGCTTTAACATTCTTTCTTTCTTCCATGTGAGGAAGATTCGTAACAACCCTAACAGAAGCATGAATAGAGATAAAGCGGTAACTTTAAATTAGCCTTCAAGTTTTCACTTCTCTACCTTCTTTCTTTCTTACCTCTTTAATCACAAAAGTAATTCTTTACTACAGCTCTCCTCAAGCCATTTCTTCTTGGAACTCCTCGATAAAAGTTGCTTGAAGACTACTGCCTCATAACACACTTCAACAGAAACTACCAGTATACCTCAGATAATGCCTCTGTACAAGCATTTACACAGTTTCTACCACAATATCAAACTCAGCTTCTCCAGCCCTTCAGTTCTTGATGTCAGCTGACATGTCTCCCAAGAAAAGCCACAGATGCAAAAAAAGCAGCTCTTGCAAAAAGACAGCAACGCAAGTATTCATAATACATCAGAGTCAAAAAGACTACAGGCACCTAGGACTCCTGATTTCAAATCCTGCTTAGGGCTCCCTAAGCCTTCCTCTTCAATACTTCATTTTCCTTCTTGTCTCTTTCCTCATTCAATCTTTTCTGACATCATTTGTAGAACACATCTGTGACACAAACACCAAGGTGCTTTTCTTATAGCACTCACTCCGTTTCCACCAAGCCAGGTCATGGTTTCATGGAAAAAAGCCTTCACCTGTTTCTGTCTAGCCAAACTCAAAATTCCTTTGCCACTCCATCCATTTTTTAATACTTCAAAAATACCGAGAGCATGAGACATCCGGCTTTCTGAAGAACTCCTTATTCAACAGCTGAGATAAGCAGGCACCTACCTTCCCAGTTTCCTTTTACTTTATTTCTTCCCTTTTTTTTTTTTCCTGCTTTTTCTCTTCCCTTTTGCAGGGCTTCTTTTACTCAGGAAGAATTTGAAGAAAGCCACAGGAGACCCATTAGAGCTCAGGTCAACATCCTGCCTTTCTTTTGGACCCTTGGTAACAGTTCAAACCCACTGTATGTAAAACAATTCTGAATCTGAGAGCTTCAGAAAAGTGTGATGCACACAGTGCAATTTATTACATACCACCCCACCAAAAACAATACTTCTGCAAACCACAAACCATACATGCAAAAATCTGACAATGCATCTGACAATGCAACTCCTCTTCTTCAGTAAGACAAAAACATTGAGCAGAACAGGTGTTTTATTTTTCCTGCAGAGAAACCTTAAGAATTGCCTGCCTCTCAATAAACATATTTTCCCCTTTCTTTTTTAAAGATATAATGTTTTGGGAATGGAAGTAACACTATGAATTCGGATGCCTGCTGTTAGTTTATGTCAAGTTTGACATGCCAGATTAGGGAAAGTAAACAAGGTAAGTAGATCTCTCTATACAGCAGTGTAATTCAAATGACATGAGGCTACAGATATGCAGATTAATACAATGCTTAGCTAACTAAAAACTAGTATTTTTACTGTGTACAACAGTAAGCAGATCCGAAAACCAATTGCTGTATTGGTCTATTAAAAAAAAATTCTAAGTTGCAACTTACTGTTTTGAGTTCCATAAGAACTTGTTCATCCACTCCTTCATCCAGAAAAACTTCTCTGACATCATTGATGACATCTTCAATTACAGACCTGTACAATTTAGGCTTTTTAAAAAAAAAAAAAAAAAAAAGTAATTCGTCAGTGTTGTTTTGAAAGAAATTTATCACTTTAACGTTAAAATAAGATTTCCTCCCACAAAAAACCTCTGAAAACTGCATTACATAATACACTGCACGTTTCCGAGTGACTAAAATACCGAACGAGGTATAGATCAGCCAGAACAGCTCAAACAAGGTGAAAAGGGAAGGGACTGTTCGCTATCTTTTCTGACATAACTATGGCACAAGAGTTTTCAAGCCATGAGGAGTGTAATTCAAAACAGAGAAAAGGAGATCGTTTTCCATTCGGTAAATTTGTTTCCTGCTTGCCTATGTACATACTGAATATGCAAAAATATTTGCATGTGTGCAAAATATTAATGTCAAAGAACATTAAACATTCAAAAGGATATTAGATAAACACAAACAAAAGAAACTTGTTAGTGCTTGCTAGTTCAACAGGAACCAAATATGGCTCAGAATGATCTTGAGCTGAAAAACGTTGAAGGCTCAGAACACCAGAAGCATTCACATGAATGTCCTGTTCTTCTGTACACATCTGTTTATGGAAACTATTGAAGACAGGCTATTAGGCTAGACAGACTTCTGTTTTCAATCAGTACTTACGTTTTTACATTAGAAATTTTTCAGGGGGAAATACTACAAATACATTATTATTCTATTACACCAATTTCACGCCTAAACTGCCAATGACAAAGTGAATTGTCAATTCACTTCAGATTGCCAAAAGAAGTTCTGGAGTCTCCATCCCTGGACATACTCAAAAGACATCTGGACATGGTCCTGGGTAACCAGCTCTAGATGGCCCTGCTTGCGCAAGGGGGGTTGCAAGATGACTTCCAGGGGTCCCTTCCAATCTCAACCATTTTGTGATTTTTAAAATGCAGGTACAATTTTAAAAAGAGAATATAAATACTCAACCTTATCAATTAAAGCACAAAATTTAATTCATAGGACACAGGATAATTGTACTATGCACGTGCCATACCTTTTAAACAGTACAGCTTGGACCTCTATACATACGTGTGAACCTCAATGGTATTTTGGTTGGGTTTAAATATCTGTGCTATACAATTGCAAGTTAGCCCTACGAGCTCTAAATTAGGGTTGATCAACCTGCAGCCTGTGAACCATATATACTTCACTGACCAGAGCTGTTCCTTTGGCTGGGGCTAGACCATTTTTAAACTGATCCGAAAATAGCTACAACTTTCTGTAAGCTGACATCTTCCTCTACCCCGTTCTGTAACTTCCGTAAACAATAAATCCCAAATGACACCACACACATCAGATATGTTGTATATATGCAGAACAATCATTCTATACTCTTGCAGTGGGTTTGGCATCCCAGGAGGGCTGTGCCTCCAATATACATGCAGAAAACCTGCACCATGCACATGCAGTTAGTCTAGCAGTGCTGGAACTACAGAAATTTACTGCACGCACTTGAAACATTTATTTTATGTATATGCAGTTGCTTAATGCATCCCAGAAGTGTTGAATTTATTACAGATACGCTAAAGATTATATCACACACGTTACGGAATTGTTATGCCTATGTTACGGAATAATGGAGGGGGAATAGCAGCACATGATTTACTAGCCCAGGAAAAAGCTGAGTGGCCAATAAGCAGAAAAACAAGTTGAATATCTTTGCTTTTAAATGCTAAAAAAAAAAAAAAAAAAAAAATCAAAAAACTCTAAAGAAATGCATTGATATTACAAGGGGAGAAAAGAACCTATTTGGAGGCCTGAACTAAGAACTAAGCAGTCTGATGGCTGCTTAGCGCATTACGTTCTCAGCGTTTAAAACAAACTCCGCATTGGGGCATACCCAAGTCATTTTTCTTACAAAAAACCAACCAATCACACAACAAAAAAAAAAACACCAAGGGAAAAAAGAAGGAAAAGAAAAGAAAAAAAAAAACACCCAACAAAACCCAACATACCACTCTGTGTTACTGACCACACGTCAACATTTTGGCAAATGGCATACTATCAGCACCCTATTTTTTTCTTCATTTTATATTTCATCAGTTTGCCACTTTTCAGCTTTAAAACATGCTGCTGCAAATCAAGTAGCTGAAATGTTAGAATTCATCCTTTTGTTACTTGTCTTGCCAAAAAAAATTCTGGCCTCAAGTAACAGGGTAAGTTTTCTGTCCTTGAAAACTACATTTACAGCACCTATGTCCAAAACTCAATTTCTCCAAAAGAAACAAAACATACCGGACTACTTGCAGACTTTTTTCTTTCAAAACAATACTGCATGCTCACGTATCCAGGCTTCAAGTACAGCATTCATTGTGCTTATAGAGACATTTGAAACAGACTTTCAAAGCCAGACTACTCTTCAGCGCTAGTATTTTAAATCTGCGTAGTGAGTAACTTAGAAATACCAAGCATCATTAACAGGATTATTTTTCCACTTAGATTTCATTCATAGCAGATGCAAAAAGACATTCTACTTAATAACATTAAGTCCTATTATTTCTATAATTAAACACATTGCATAAAGCTTATACAATTCAACTAGCACAGAAACGCTACTTGACCTAGTCTGTGTATTGTTCCTTATTGTATTAAAAGCATCTGTTTCTTAATGCCAAAACCACATTCTGCAAATAAACAAGCTTAACCTCAGGCATGTGAGTTACTTTACTTAAGCCAAGAGAACTACCTGTATGTCTGAAATTACAATCAAAATTTCTGCTGCATGGAGATTGCATTTTCTCCTTAAATCCTCCTCTCCTTAAATCATTTATTAGGTCTGCTTTTCTAATAAAACAGATTTCACACAAACAGGCCCTAATAATTTCCACCAGCAGTTACCTCCTCCTATCTCCACAGTCAGGCATTTTTGTATGGTTTATTCACAAAGCCTCCTCAGTCTATAAAACCCTAGGAAAAAATACCAACAATTGGATACAACAAACTGACCCTACAGCCCAACAGTCTGCTTGGGAACATTGCCTTTTTGCCTTGTGTAGTAAGGGAAAAAACAAATTCAAAGAGCAGGATACTGGTTTCTAGTGTCCGGCACTAGTTTAGCAAGAGAGCAGACAGGGAGGTTAAGAGCATAGATGTTCACTCCGCCATCGACGCAGTGTCCTTCTGCACACTTCCAACAGCCCAAGCAGCGGCTAAGCCCCCCAAAAGACAACAGCACCACAGAGGTGCAGTGAGCCTAGTGCGATGCAGCTTAATGAACCCGCGAGCAGTTTGTATGTGCATGTACCTCTGCATGAGCCATACAGTGCACTGGATGTAAAGATGGGTCAGAATTTTTGGACACCGTTCCAATCATGCAGTATCACAATATATGATACACTCATGGCTATATGATTAGAAGGAAGGGAACAGCAAAGAAAGTATCTGCACACTTATAATGAAACAGTGTCTGTCTATTTTTACCTATACATGTTTACGTAACACTCAGAAAAATCCCGTCCAGTTGAAAACATTCTCTTGTGTACCCTCCTACTGAACATCCAGCCCAGACAGATGCAACACCTTCCACAAAGGGAGCAGCAATGCCTTCAAGAGCCATCCACAGTGGAATTTTGAAGACTAGCACAGAACGCTCTCTTCCTACCTCAACAGAAGCAAATCCAGTAAAATTACAAAACAGCCTTAAGCCGTGGTCTTTAAAAGGAAGCACACTGTATTGTTTTAGATCTACACTAAGTGCTGGCTTTAAGCATTATTTATATGATGCTCAAGGTGTTTATACATACCACCTGAGACTCTGGAGCTGAACAACAAAATGATTTTCATGCACTGCTTACTCAAAAAATAAACATGGGAATACAATTACCGAACAAGTCTAAAGATGGGATAGCAGGTGAGTTAAGCTTTCCAATAAATTTCCGCATTCAGTCAGAGAAAGCAATGAGAACATAATGGAAACTTTAAAGATTGCTATTAAAATAATCATGCTTTCATCTGGTTTATATTAAAGTGCCTCCCTCATAAAGAGTACATTGCTGTAAACTTCAAGCTCTTTTAAGAGCAAAATACTCAAATCGCTCTTCAATAAACACTATTCCAAACACTTACTATAGATTAAAGACAACAATTAAAATTCCTGATTTATTAGATACAACCACAAACACACGGAAAACATTTGAAATCTAGTACTTCCCCCTCTGGGAACATACGGAAATGATTATATTTCACTTTCTCTGTGCATCTTGTAAAGAAAACTCCGAGTATGGTGAGACTGCTACACACATACACACACTCCAAATCCGAGGAGCAACCAGCAAGCTATTTTAAGAAATGCCACATGCCTTTGGGCATTCCTTCAGTTTCAAGGGTACAGAAACTGCATCTCTTTGTAATCATTATCACAACACTTGGGATTTCAGCAGTTTGGGTTTCCAATAACCAACACATTATGGAGAGATACACCATGGCACACTTTGTGCGTTTGACAGCAGTTTGTTCCTGGTTGCTTCTGCAGTTATCCCTGAAATGTCACTAATCTTTCTCCTGTCTGTGCACTTCCAGCTGGAAGCTAGCAATATGACAGCTAGAAGAGCACACTGTAAAGGTAACCAGTTTTAGTCACAATTACATCAAAGATGTGCGTAAAAAGAACTAACACATAATCTACATTGTAAGCATTAAAATTTGAGCTTTTTTTTTATGCTGTCGTGGACTTTTACAAATAAATTACCTTTGTCACCTACAAAATCTTATACTGCATGTAACTGTTAACGTTTTATATTTGTCCTTTATTAGGAAGAACAGATTTCGAGCAATTCAGATTTGATCGGATGCTGACGTGATACTATTGACTTGACACATTAGGCTCAAAGTCTAGCTTCCTAAAGTTATCACCTGGTTGCAGTATTTCAAAATGTTCCTATTGATCTTTGGTAACCCTAGGGTAAGCATCGCGATCCTTGCGATTGAATGAGACCTGAATTTGACAAAGTTGACCATGCACTATTGCGAGGTTTTACTACTTAATT